TTGCTTAGAAAATAGAGATTTCTGGTCGTTTTTAGATAGGTAATAAAAAAGTAGAAGGATCAGAAAAGCCCGCAAAAGAAATAGAAGTTATTGATTTCAAGAAAAAACTACTATTACTTATAATTCAATGGGTGAAGCTGCAAGAGCTTTAAACCTTCCAGCACATAGTTCAATTTCTAAGTATATTCGTACTAATCAAACTAAACCATATAAAGATAGATATATTTTTAAAAAAGTAAATTAATTCATTATTAGCTACCACCCTAAATGTGGAAGAGCAAAATCTTCTTATTGTGCTATCAGATGAAACACGTGGTAAAATTTCAGCGGCTACAACAGCAAATCATGGGGTGGCAGTTGTGGTAAAAAATGTTCAAACAGGTGAAAGCAAAGAATATTTAACTATTACTGAAGCGGCAAAAGCTTTAACTGTAAGTAGAACTACAATTAAAAAAGTACTTCAATCAGGCAAAATTTTTAGAGAAATCTATATGATAAATTATAAGTAAACATATTTTTGTTTATAAAGATGGTCAATACCCAAGGCAGATTTGGTTTTATTTCGTCATCATTTGCTAAATAAATATAATGTAAGAATAATAAAATAATAATAATAAATGGATAGTTAACTATTTAGGGAGAAAGACCTCATCTCTGCCTTAAAAGGCTAAAGAGGTATATTTGTTTCCGCGAAACCTATCTAAGTAGGCCATTTAAATAACATCATTGCAGGTACAGAAATTTTTAGATCTCATTAAAAACTTACGTTAACTTCTTATTATTAAGTATATGAAGTATTCGGGGAATCGTGAAGATTTTACTGGTGAGAAATTAATCTAGGAATGGTAATGATGAATGTTGAATAATCAGACATAGAATGCTAAGGTTGTATGTCAAAAGGGAAACAGCCCACAACAAGTGTTATAATAAGGTTCCAAAATTATTATTAAGTGAAATCAAGGAAGTCTTTTGATTTTAATTCGATCAGGAAATAGGCTTAGAAGCAGCCATTTTTTTGAAGACCTCGTAATAGAGCACTGGTTAACAATGTAAAAAGGCATTGAAAATTTAACGGATCTAAAATAATATACCGAAACCTTGTCTATAGTTATAAATATTTATATTGTATAACTATAGGGTAGCGGAACGTAGGGGATATAAAAGAATTTGTTCTTTTTAAGAAAAAATAATATAACTCTAGTGATAATGCTAACATGAGTAACGATAAAGGCCAATCTATAGGTTGACCTCGCCTTAAGCTTATGGTATAGATAAAAGTAACGGCCTCTAAGTTTATTAACCTAAAGGACTAAACGATGAGAAAACCTTGTTTATAAAGTAATAACCTTTAAATTTTTAAACATTCTGGGGTCGCACGCCCTCACTCTCTTTAGGAGTGAGTGATCGCGCCCCAATAGCTGATGTAAATAATAAGTGATGAAGAGTTCAGGAAAAACGATAAACACTTAACCGTACCTAAATACCAGCTCAGGTAAGCAAGTAGAGAATACGAAGGCGTTTGAGATAACAATCATAAAGGAACTCGGCAAAATAGCTCCGTAACTTAGGGATAAGGAGTACAGTTCATTACGGGGGGCGCTTATTTAGGCGCCCCATTAATATTAAGTAGTGTTCAGGTAGCATAAAATCGAGTTGTACGACTGTTTAATTAAAAGTGCGACCTGTAAGTTTTAATATGCAATATGGTGAAATACCATTAAGGACGTAGATCAATGCTTATTTAAGTTTCTTAAGCCTAGGTAAAGGTGCTTTTTTGGTAACGAATTAGTACTAAGCTTTATCGACAATGTGAGAAGCTTTCCTAAATACGTGGAAACTATCTTATTAGGCTAGATAGCTAAGAATAACTTAATGTGAATTTCTTAAAGGCGTCGAATAAACAGTATATCGAAAGTATTTGAAACGATATTGTGAGAATGAATTAACATTCCTTTTAAAGTGTTAATTGATCTACCAAATTTCTCCGGCGTAGTGGAAAATTCTAAGGCTATCATAAAGGTGCATATTAAGAAACAGGGTAAGCCTTATAATAACCTGTGTGTAGATAGATTTTTTCTTATATCTAAATCAATCACCAGGAGGGATAATAGCAATATTATTTAACTATTAGAAGGTATAGGACATACAAAAAGCGAAGGCCGATTTGTAATTAATTGGATAGGAAATAATTTCCACTCGAAAGAGTGCTGACTTGTATTTGGGTGAAAATAACAATTGTGTAAATAATGGGAGTGGAATATCTACTCTCTACATTAAATGCTACTATTAATTATGAAGCAATACTTCATATCTTAATTGGAAATATATAAAAAAAACTAAATTTATTACAAATCCTTTTCAGATTAATATTTAATTTGTTAAGCCTTGTAATAAAAAAATCAAAAAGGTTCATTATAAATATAAAAATTGCTTATTAAATAAGCATTATCTATGTTAAGGTTTATATAATTATTATAGATATTAGTACGGTAATTAGTCAGAAAGCTTTTAAAACTAATCATAAAGCTGTTGAATACCAACTATATCATTATTCCAATCATTGCTTAATAGCAAGGAAATAACTAATTTTTTAATTAATAAAACCAACTAAAATGAAAATTAATAATTTTAATATGATGGAACAATTTACAACTGTAGAACAAACTTTAGCTTATTTTAAACTCTATCCTCAATGGATTGCCGGATTTTCGAATGGCGAAGGAAGTTTTTCAGCATATGCTTATGCAGATGTTGCAAATACTTGGGGTATTCAATTTGGTATTGACTTTAGTGTTAGTCAAAATGAAGGGGACCGTGTGGTTTTAGAAGCAATAAATGGTTATTTTAATAATGAAGGTGGTGTTTATCATAGAACATGTGGAGTTAGTGTGGTAACATTCCGTAATTTACAAACTCTAAAGCATGAAATCATACCTTTTTTTAAGAAGTATCCGTTGGTTGGTTCAAAAAGTTTAGAATTTGAGCGCTGGATTAATTTGGTAGAAATTTTGTACGCAAAGGAGCATTTAGGTAAAACTTTGGCTCAAAGAGATGTATTTTTGCAATTTTTATATTTAGCTAAAGAACTTAATGCTAAGCGTTTAAATAAACGTAAGCTACTTAAAATTGATATAATGTCTGATTGGTTAAAAAACTTAGATGGTGTTCCGTCTAAGGAAGATAAGTCTAATTTAAAAAACAAAATTAAAACTTCTTTAATTGCATTTAGTGATAAAAAATAAAAAACAATCTTTTAGTATGAGTATGTTATACTAGAAGGCACAAAATAACTTATCATTTGCTTGAGCCGTGTGCGATGAAAGTTGCAAGCACGGTTCTTAGAAGGGGAAAGCTTGAAACGGCCTACCTATTTCAACCAAAGCACTTTGCATAAAGATAAAAATCTAAGTATAAAGTGTGAGCTCTGCCCAATGTTTGAAGGATAACAAATAAGCTCAGTGTTTAACATAGGCTTAAATAGGAATCTCTTATGAATGGCGGCCTTATCCGTTAGGGTCTACAAAAAACTGTTAAGTTTTATTTACTTATTTATAGTAAACTTTATAGGGCCCTATTAAAATTTAGCTATATGCTGGGACAATTCTATTATTAATTATAGAATGATGAATTCTGACAATTAATTAATAAAAATATTATTAGTGGGGTTTTTTGTAGTAAAAAAAGCATAATAGGGATCAAAATAGCCGGTGACCCTTGTAGTAGAAGATGGGAGCCAGTACGATGCAAAAGAACGTTCCTCTGGTGAGGCCCACCATGAAATTCGGAGGTGAATCTTAAAGATTTGCTATCCGACGTTGTCAATTAGCTAGAAAAACTCTTTATCGCAAGGATATGGAATCTTCCCGACATAGTCTAAAACACCCGGTATGAGAGGTGATAATAACAATAAATAAATGAAAAACAATATGAATAATATTTTAGGGATAAATCAGCAGGAAAGAATAAATTCTTTAATTCAGCATGAGAATTATAGGTATTGGTTAGGTGGATTTGTGGAAGGGGAAGGTGCATTAGTTGTTTCTATCGTAAAAAATGACAGACTTTCGAATGGAATATCGTTACAACATGAAAATGGTATTAATATACTTTATTCTTATAAAGCTTTATTTGAAAATTCTGGAAATGTACTTCAAAAATCTGGATCTGACAAAGTTTTAGTCTATTCTTTAAAAGGGTACTCAAAATATTAAAAAATATGTATTACCTTTTTATTCAAAATATGTAGTAGAATATTCAAGTAAATTCAGTTCAGAAAAATTTGAAAATTTCTGTTATATAATTGAAAAATTGGATAGCAATAAAAAAAAAACTATGGAAAAAGAAGTATTAATAGAATTAGTCAAATTAGTTTATTTATTGAATCCTGATAGTAAAGGGAAACAAAGAAAAAGAACTTTAGAAGAAATATTAGGGATTATTAATAGTAAAATATAGTTGTGTTATTATTTTTTAAAGCAGGTTTTATTTAATTGCGTAATGGGTCGTGGCTAAGCTGTGCTAGGTTTTTTGCAAAAAATGGTTTATTAAAATAGTAAACCTAATCCCCTCCTTTTATTTTTACAATCATCCCGTCTCCTGTTAAGGGAGATTGGTACTAAATACCTAACAAAGTTTTTATTATCCTCAGAGGCCACAAGCTAAACAATTTAAAATAATAACCATCCCTCATGCGAGCATGAATATTTCAAGCTTTGGATGGATATAGAGAAAGATTAATGTCTTTTTAATAAATAAATTGAATATATGGTCCAAATTATTATGATCTTGAGCAGAAATTTATTCAAGTAATAATGAAAAGCCTAAGGTAGCGGAACACCCTGGCCGTTAAATGCGGTCTTGCATGAATATTGAGTTGGGGGTGACTCAACTATTACCAAAATTAGCGGATACCTATAAACAGTGAATTACAATGATTAGAATCTTCCGAAGAAATTTGACGGGTGAATGGCTTGTGGAGACATAAGATAAAGAATTAAAGAGGTGATAATGATCCTCCCTTGAGACCCCTCGCCCACTTGAATCCTCGTAGGGTTGAGTTTTTATTAGGAAGAGAAAGTAATAGCTCTAACTCCCAATGTAATGGACAATTATTGTGGATTGATGCCAACGCGCGAACCTTTCTATGGTCT